TTTATTTTATGTCTATAATTTTAATGAATTAGGAAAGCTCTTCCTATACAACCATCTTGGTTTAATGAGTATCACAGAATGGTTCTTATGGAACAAGCATTTTTCATAAAATTATAACTGTCAGTAAAGGTCGTTCTATCTCCCATTATCACCAGAGTACACATAATGGAGATAGCAGTTATCAATGGAATGAACATTGGAACAACTTTAAGAAAGAGCCATATCTTAATCATCGGACAAATGAGCTTGCAGAGGACCATTGTAAAAGTGGAAAAGCATTTGACCAAATGTCCAATCACAATATACGTCAGGTTATTCCTATTGTGGAGAAGACCCACAAAGGAAGTAAATGTATCCAGTATTTTCAGCAGTCTTCACAATACCGTGAACAAGAGAATATACATGTTACGGAGGAGGCTCACAAATGGAATCCGTGTGGGATAGTCTTCAGTCAAATAATCAATCTAAATAGATGCCAAAAAGTTCATAGTGGAGAAAAACCTTATACACATAAAGATTGCTGTACTCTAAATCAGACAATTCATACTGGAGCAAAGCCTTGCAAATGTAAATCATGTGGCAAAGCCTTTAAATATCATTCATCTCTTATTATACATAAGGCAAGATTTCACACTATAGCAACATTTTGCAAACTCAGGGAAAATGGAAAAGACTTTAGTCAGTCCTCAAGACATACCCAACATCATACAAATAATATTCAAGAAAAGTCTTATAAATGCTCAGAATGTGGCAAAACCTTTAGTCGGCCCTCAAACCTTATTCTTCATCAAGGAATTCACACTAGAGAGAAACCTTATAAACATAGAGAATGTGTCAAAGCCTTTAACAACCATACAGGTCTTACTAATCATCATAGTGTTCATACTGAAGGTAAGCCTTATAAATGTAGAGAATGTGGTAAAGCATTCCTCCACACGTCAAACATGTTTCGACATCGGAAAGTTCATACTGGAGAGAAGCCAATCTGAAGCAGTTATCATAATAAAACTCTTGTTATCTAAAGAAGTCAGGTGTATTATGCATTTGGGAAATCTTCCAATTTAAAGTCAGTTACATTGGCAAATCAATGTGTTTCTGCACGTGAAAGTCAAAATCAACTTTTTACTGTTATGTATTCTTGGAAAAAGAATTTGTAAAAACTAGGAATTCACATAGTCTCTAGAATAAATAATTACTTTAATTGTTTAAAATGTAGGGTGGGATTAAACTTTCGATCATTTCTAAAATATATAGATTCATAATGTATCCATAAAATTAAAATGTGCTGAATTTGGCAATTTTTTATGATATATTTTTTTAAAATATATTTTATTGATTTTTTACAGAGAGGAAGGGAGAGAGATAGAGAGTTA